CATGTATTAATAACAGCAGTTGCTATTTGCTTTAAGGTACTGGTTTGCTCCAGGAATTGCCTTGAGGACTCTCTTTTTATATCTTTATTGTTTATAATAGCAAATGAATATTATTAATAGTATTGTTATTGTTTTAATGATTAGGTAATAGATAAGAGTTGTAGCAAATAGATTGTTATCTATTGTTGTACAATTATTTGTAATATTTGTTGACATCAAATTGCTTTGTCAACAATCTTATCTTTTGTCTAAGAAGTAAATATTTGGTTATATAAGAAGTTCTTTTAATTATTCCAAATTGAGTTTAATATGGTGGTAATTGAATTTGATTATTTAATTTGTTTACTTAATTTCTTGCTTTACTAAGTTTTCTTTTACATACACAGATTGTTGTTAATATTGTTGCTATTGATCCTATTATTGTTACAAATAATGCTAATAGTTTATTTATAGCATTTTGGTTATTGAAGAAGTTTGGTACCTGAGTTACTGTTTGTACAGATTGTATTGTAGTTGGAGATACTATAATTGATAGTGATAGTATTGGTACAGTTATATTAATAGTTATTTCTCTTGATATCAATATAATGAGTACTGCTAGTATTAATATTATTTGGTAGAATTGCATTAAATTGTCAAAGTACTAATTACAGGATTCGATATAGATTTCTTCTTAGATGATCAGTTCAAGAGTATAACCGAGTTGAAGTTTCATTTTTGCTTTTCAACTGCCTTTTCAGCTTATCTTTTAGTAGTCGAATCTAGTAGTATTATTATGGATAATCTTTAGTGTATCAGAATCTTGTTATGTTTGATAAAAATTTCTTAGGCTCTTTTTGTAGTATTTGTATTTACTATCTCAGTAATACTTTCTTTATACTTTTTTAGTATATCTTTATAGTTTCTCTAGATTAGTTTCTTTTTACAAGAGTGCTTAGATAATTGCTTGTTCAAGTTTTAGACTATTTTTCACTTATTTAAAAGATACTTTTTTATCTTAAAGTTTATTAGAGTCTTATAGATTTATTCTTACTAATACTTGTTTTTATAGAAACTTTTTATAGAGTTTTTACAGAATAAAGTTTATGTTCAAAGACTTTCTTTAAATAAAATATGTGTTTTATTAAATATAAATGTGTTAAATTATATGCTAGTAGTTATTATCTTCTTGCCCAAGATTGGTATTTATGTGTTGTTAGGTTAGAAGTGAGTTTGTCTCCACATTGTTTCTTATTATTAATAGGTTCTTGTAAGTCTTTTCTCTACATTGTAAGTATGTCTCTTTTAATTAGCTTTTGGCTATATGTATTTGCTTTCTTTTGGTCTGCAGATGTATGATTATATATTCTATTTATTGGACACTTTGGACATTTTCTGGTTATAAGGTTGGTTTATATGTTTGGTTGGCTTGTGGTTTTGTAATATTTCTTTAACACATTAGGCTCTTTTATCTTTCTTGTATGCACTATTTGTTGGGTGCTATTAAGTTTGTTTTCTAGTTTCTTTTTTTTAGGTTGGATACCTTAGAAGGTTATTTTCTTAATATTCTGTATTGGGCTTTGAGTATATACTACCATGTTGGATGCTTTTGGTTTCTGTCTTTGAATTATTCTGCCTTTTCTGAGATTAAATTATGTTTATAACATGTTGGACTCTCTGAGGTTTAATTTCTTAGGCTCATGTTGGACACCTTAAAGTTTATCTTTGGGCTATCTGAGATTTTAAACTTTATTTTTGCCATAGGCAAAAATATTTAAAATAGAGAAAGGTAAGGTTTTGACTATTGACTTTGAGATAAAATTGTGTTTAATACAAAATTATTATTTTGTAGCAATTAATATCTCTTGAGATATCTAAGTTAAGGTTTTCAAAAATATGCAAAAATTTATTATTTTTTTTTGTGACAAAAATATCTAAAGTAGAGAAAGGTTATTATTTGTGAGAGTTGTAGATTGAATCAATTCTAAGGTTAATAAAGGTAAAAACTACTGCTATTTATATATTTGTGAAGGCTATAACTATTAAGCTATGACTAATAATAAATAATTTCATTATGTAATGATTAATATAAACAGATTGTTTATCATTTGTTATCATTTCCAGATTTAGTAATCTGATTCAGCCAATCTATAACTGACATCTATTTGTTGCACATATGACATAGCCATTAAATTTTTCAGATTTCTGGGCATCATAATCTGTTATTAGCCCTCTCATAATTACACCTGCAGAAAAGCTTATTTAATAAGATAGCTGCACGACACAGTCATGCTAAAACCAGGAATGTAAATATTTGTTTTTTATTAATGTATTAGTATAATCGATAGCATGTTTTATAGCTTATTCAATTGGTTTTTTAAATATAGCTTAATTATATGATAATGAGTTATAATAAAATCATTATTTTTACTAAATTCATTATAATAATATGATTATATTTGATTAATATGATTTGGATAAATATATTGTAGTATGTATGCGTTAGTTCAAATATCTTCATTTTCTCATCCACTTGGGCTTAAAATATTAACATTAACAACTAGTTAAATTTGAATAGTCTTATATTAAATATATTTAAAAATTGGTAAACCAATATAAGAGAATATTTTAAATTATTTGGTTTAAATTGGTAAATTTAATAAAATTAAAAAAAAAGTAATAACATGCTGCAGATTCATTTTGGTTGAATAGTATATAGCATATGTGCATGTTATAATAATATCTTTTGGTGAATGTTTTTTATTATTGTTAGTTTAGATAAAAATTTTAAAAATTGTGAGTATCGTCAGGCCAATAATTTAGGTTTTTCATTCTTTTTGTACATTCATTCAAGTGGTCAATTTCTGTTTTGAGAGCCAAAGGTAATTTCATATCTAATATAAATTCATTAAATGGCTGCAAAATTAGTAAGTCTAGTAGCATGGGTTTGAGTATTAGTTTATATGATCTTTTTTTATACTTTTTCCAAGTTTTTAACTATATATCGTTTTTATATTTTTTATAAGATAGAATCGAAAATATGTATAAGTATAAAACTTTAGAACTTTTATTAGAACAACTGTCATATTACTGTAATAGAGAGACCATGACTTCAGATTTTAAATGATAAAAGTTCATTAAAAAGATCGTAATACCTGAGTTGTAGATTTTTAGATGATATACGAAAGATTATTTAGATAATTCGACATGAATTCATCAAATAGATAATGATAATTCGATGTAAACTCATTAATTAGTTATTAAATAAACAAAATAATAGATACGCTTATCTACTTCACAAAAATACAATACATTTATTCTAATCTTTAAATTTATTGCGATTTTAATTTTACTTCGATTTTGTATTTTCTATCTTTTAAATCCATGCTTTGATTGGCTGATCAACATGTGACAATACATGAACATTGTGTAACATTGAACAGTTCCTTCTGTTTATCAGACCGGATTATTTATAAGAATGTTGATCATACTTTTTTAATATAATTATAATAAAAAACAGAGCACTAATCATATTCAAGATTTTGTGTACGAACACAAAACTCGAGTGAAACCATAAACTACATTCTACTACGTTCCTGGTATATTTATAACTATCTCAAGTAGTACAGCACATGATAATTTTAACAGCTATATGATTTCAAAGTCACATAACTGTCTCAAGTAGCATAGCATATAACAGTTGTAACAGATATGTGATGGCAAAGTTATATAACTGCTCTGAATGGCATAGCATATAACAGCTACTGTGGTAAACATACAAATTAGATAATTTATATTAATAAATATATGCAATATTTTTAAAGTAATAAAATCTTTATGCTAGAGTTAAGATAAGACTATAATAGAATGGTTTTTTATACTAAAATTTTGCAAGAAATTCTTTTTGTTAGTGCACAATAGGTGGTTTTATAGACAAAATTTTGAGTTATCTGCACTTTTTTAAAAAAATTATGATTTCATGTTACATTTGTTCTGAAAATTGATTATTAGAAGAAATAAAAAAGATCTGATTAGTGCATCTTTCTTGTATAGTAAAAGTACTTTATGACCAAATAATTATTTTTTTCTTTAGTTATCAGTTTCTAGATTTTACAAATGAATGAAAATTTCATATAGAGTTAAGTTCTTAGTTACAATTTTACAACCTTTCAAACTTATAAACAGAAACTTATTTGATCAAAGTTGCAAGTCACTCTACAACTGAAAAGTTTATTACTAAAGCTTGCAAATTTTTATTTATAGATTTTGCTCTTATAGCAATGCAGAATCTGTATAAATTTGACTAGTAATAAATCTGCTAATTACAATAAAAGACAATGATTACAAATTCATAAGTTACTTTTTTTTTTCCAATTACTTTTTTTTTTATTTAAAATTTTATTTATTATATATTATTTTACATATTATTATATATTTCTATTTTCTGCCAGCCTTTTTGATCTGAGATTCTGTTTTATTTGGTCTTCTATGTTTCCTTATATAAATTTATTCTTTATTAATACTGTTTTAAGCAATTTTTGTTAATTCTGATACCAGACTTTTAGGTTGTCCTCATTTCTTAGAATGTTGGCTTTTTGGTAAGTGGCGATCATTGATATCATTAGAAAATATTTATTACATTCGGGACAACAAAGTTGAGCATAATTGGCTTTGCCAATTGAGAGACAATGAGCATTATATCCTGGTATCTTATCTTTATTGAAAAATTCTAACAAATATATGAGATTGATGTGATGCCCATCTTTACTCATCATTACTAGAGGAAAAAATCTATTATTCTTTATAAGAAAACTAGCAGCCTCTTTACACCATTTTGGTAAACAACACAAAGTATTTTTACATTTTTTTATATCCAAGAAATAGTTATATATTCTTGCATAAGTTTCTAACCACTTCCAAGACACAGTATTTTCATCTTCAGATCTTGGAAACTTGATAAAAAATGTGAAGTTATTTCTTTTAACATACTCTACTATGACCAGCTTTTCAAATAATAGATCTCATTTCCAAAGGTCACATAATAATTCTCCAGTATGTTTAAAATTTTTTTTAGCTAATTCCACATCAATAAATTGGCTTTGAGAGTTTAAATAAGAACCATAGATATTAACTGGTAGGATGATACCTGCAAGGTTTTGAGAAAAGGATACCATACTCTGTTCTACAGGATTGTATTTGGATTGACCTAGAACAATAATATCCAGTTAACTAGTTGTTAATATTTGAGTAATACCAAAAAAAACCAGACTTCATATTTTCAATTATATTTTGTACTAGACATAATAGACTGGTTGTGTCTGGTACAAAATATAATTAAAAGCCTGAAGTCTGAGTTTTTCTTGATATCACTTATTTGATAATTAATTTTTTTTAGTAACTAAGGCCAGACTAACTTAATTCTCTGTTTAATATAACATGAAATAACTTGTAAGAAGAAGAACAGGGTATTAAATCAATATTTAATGCCACAATTTTATTAATTAATTTAATACATATAAATCTTGAAAAATAAAGGTTTATATTGAACAGTAAATCAAATTAGTTCAGTTTAAGAAGCTTTTACTATTATTATTTTAGCTAAATACTATTTAGAATATAATTTGAACAAATTAATAAATCTATCAACTAATCTGGAGTATGTGTCTGAATGGTAAGGTAGTCCAGATTAAATGCTCGAAACATTGTTGCATATTTAACAATGTTCTTCATATAATGAGAATTCTCATCTGGGCCTCTATCAACAAGAAGAATCCAGATAGATTTAATCTTATTTTCTATTTTTAACATATCATCCAGACAGCTGTCTTTTACTAACGAATCTAAATCTTGCATATGAGTTGCAGAACTTGTACCAATTTCATATTGAGGACAAATGAAAATTAAAAGTTGACTATTGTGAAATGTAACATTTGTGTTATTAGAACTTATTATTAAATAAACTGATAGTATTAGCTTTTGCTATACACCTACAGAAAAATTATAGTCAGGAACCATCACTGGCTCTCTAATTGTTTGTAAAACTCTAAAGGTTCTTTTGATTGCTGTAATGCCAAAAGGAACCTTGGCCTTATCATCCTGCAAAATTATAACTAAAAACTTTGAAAATAAAAATGCATATTGTCTTGTCACTTTTACAGAAGCAAGACAATAATGCTCATCTGGATGGTCATTGTTGTCAGTTCTAGACACTAATAAGACCAAAATGTTGACAGGATAACAATTGGTCTTGGCTGCTATTGAGTTTGGATGAGAAGGTTGTAGATAATTGTTTATGATAGATCTGGCAACATATTTACTATATATATTTTTGCCATCATTTACAAAGTGGTTGATGGTTCTGACTTTTACTACCTTTCTTCTTCTTTTATTTTCTGCAGCCCCAAATTCAATACTAACATGAATATGATCGAGCAAGTCTGGATGTGTTTGCAAAAAAGAAGGACAGTTGGGTTTATTATATTTAACAAGTTGTTGTTTTTGTAGAAGTTTGTTTCTAATATAAAACATTAAATATAAAAAATTGAATAGTAAGCATTTGAATTCAAATTAAGTAAAGAAAAACAAAGTAAAAATAAAAATTCTAATTGTACTTGGGATACTTCACTCTAACCTTTAAATTTCTTTTTGGTATTATTAGAAATGAAATTTGAAGATTAGGTGAAATATTATAGATATAATTAGTGAATAAATAAAAAAATCAAATTAAAAAATTAAAAAAATAATAACTTTTTTTCTACACTGTTACATTTATATTCTGTCTGTTTTTGTAGGGATTTTAATTTCTTTTTCTCAGTATAAAGAATTTGTTTTAGTTGTTGTATCTGATTCGTTAAGTTGTTTTGGGCTTCTGAATTATTTGTTGCATTATAGGCCCTTTGACATTTAGTGAGCTTCTTATTTGTATCATTAATAATTTCTATAGCTTACTTCTGTGCTGATGCATTTATTAGAGGTGAATTTGGAGCAAAAATTTCCTCAAATATTCATATTTGAGTAATAGAGGCAGTACTAATGTTTTGGATAATTGAAGATATATTAGAGTCTTGGACAATAGGTATTGTACAAGTAAGTAGATTTTTATTAACATTTTCTATTTGATATGCTGGTTTCTTTTTATTTCTTTCTATAAGCTATTACATTCTTTAAACAAATATTTCTTTTTTAAATTTGGATTTTTAGAAATAACCATGTAGTTGTATATGAATGCATTATAGAAATTTTGATACTAGTTTGTTTTTTTTTTTTTTGGTATTAAGGTGACCTCTTTGGTCTTTTGACTTTTATTAATCACTTATCAGTATTGTGATTTAA